CATACTGCCTGCCACCTTTTCATGCCAGTTTGAAACAAGTGATCCAAGAATGTCTAACATGCTGCTGATGAGACATTTTCATCAAGCCTTTCTATTAGTGTTAGTAATCGTTAGTGAAAACTTTTTTCCTATCTGGTAATTTTACTAAAAAAAGGCATCCATTGTGGAATATTCGTGAATCCACATTAGTCAGCTGTASATGTGCACAGTACTTACACAGGTGGAGTTGAGACACATTTAAGTAAGCTCTAACTTTAAGCTATTTTCAAAAAGAAAGCTTTCTGATTTCAACAGAGAGAGCAYGTCTSTTTTCAAACACCAACTGATGAGCCTGCTGTAAAATGCTGTTTTTTGTGGTGACTTTGGAAAACTGGGAACAAMAATTTAAGCTGTACTACGAAAGCATTTTACCCGGTTGGGAAAGTCTAAAACTCTGAAATCTTTTAGTCATGACTGAGGCTGGTCATGTTTGGCATGTCTGTCATGTTTTTATTGGASATCCAGGAAGACTACATTAGATTGTCCCACTGCTTTGTTTGAATGAGGATGTTGGCAGAATGTTCTTTCTTCAATCCTGGCTGGTTTCATAAGAATGGGGATTTCCAGTATGACGGGTGTGGTGCTCCACCTGAGACGACGAGCGGGCTTGACTTCATTATTCTGAAACAAACTTTTGACAAACAGGTTTTTTTATCTTGTTTTTTTCTTAGTTCTTTGAATGTCACTGCATAGGTGGTGAAGACTTAAAAGACTGGACAAAATGTACGGAAGATAAAAGTTATTGGCAATAGGCAAACAAAACATTTTATGCTATTTCAATGTGATTTTTAATTATCGGCTATCCATCTCCAAATGATTAACTGTAAGTCAACCTGTGTCAAAATGGCCACCACAACCAAATCAGCCTTAACAAACACAAATATGACSATTATTCCGTCAATTTTCAAAAATATTAAGCTACATTTGTAATGTAGCTAAAAATCCAGAATCATACTCAACACAAAGCAGTCGCAGATTACTGAAAATTGTTGAAAACGTTGGTATTAAGTGTCGGAATCAATCTGCCCTGTCTGTTAGCGAAATGTCTCACGAACCACTGAACAATTTATAAYGCAATTCAGAAACATGTTAAAGTATGTCTACAACTTGAAGTCAATCAAATTCAAGGTGGCATGTAGTTGATTTTAGCCGACAAAAATATGTAATTCAGTCRGTTTTACAGTCTCTGATCTAAACTTGAGAACTTAATAGCTGAGAGTCATACCCAACATGTACTCCCAGTTGAAACCAATCATGTAAGAAATGTATGGTCAGGAGTGATATGCACAGTTTTCTGTTCTATTGTTGACCAAGTTGTCAAAAAACACATCTAAAGTAACTCTAAAACAGATGGGCACTAAGAAAAAAAGAGACTGCTAGAGTAAGAAAGAAAATGAAATCATCACTTGCTGAACACGTGAACGCATATCTGGATGATACACAGACATCAAACAAAAAAAAAATAACAATTTAGCACGTCATCTCCACGATGTTCTTTTTTTAAATGTTACAAGAAGGAAGAAGGAAGAGCTTGTCAAATGGACAATTARGCCAATTGTATAAAAGGTCTTCTATTTAAGTGTAACTAAATAAACCACTATGTTACAAAGAAACAACTTTTCTTTTTAGACTTAAATAAATAAAAATGGCAGAACTTAAAGACCTTTGTGACTCCACTTTTAAAACATCCTTTCTGTTTGTACCAATTGCTATGCAAGAAACTCAAAATCAATCTCAAATTTTAATTCATGATTTCAGTTTATTAATGAAAAAAAAATAAGCTTCTGACACAAGTGAAAAACCTAGACTCTTCCAGACTTAGTTTTTGTCAGATTTCAGATAAGTACAAACTTTTAATGAGAATACAGAACAAATTGAACACAAAAGACTGACAGCAAAAACAAATAATAATGTCTAATATTGGTCTTATTTTTTAAAACTTAAGTGAGAGTGGCGGAGTTGTCAACTGACCACTACCTGGTGGTGAGTTGGCTCCGGTGGTGGGGGAGGATGCCGGACAGACCTGGCAGACCCAAACATATAGTGAGGGTCTGCTGGGAACGTCTGGCAGAGTCTCCTGTCAGACGGAGCTTCAACTCACGCCTCCGGGGGGGACTTTGAACATGTTCCGGGGGAAGTGGGGGACATTGAGTCTGAGTGGGCCATGGTTCTAGTATCTAGAGTCCATACATTTATTATTCTGAAGTAAAAATGCCTTAAAATTTTAATTCCTAAAATTAATATATTACGTTGAATAAGAAATGCATATTTTATGTAAATTTATAAACTTATTAGCAAATAATATAACGTCCAAAACATAATTTTATAAGAACATTATTTTCCTACTGATCGTAACAATGAAAAGCTTTCTTTCAGGTTATTATTTTTGTTTTTTGGTTTAGTCTTGCATTGCTTCTCCAAGTTCTCTGAGCTGTGCCCATTCTATTTATAGCTGAGTCTATCAAAACAAAGGCCACAGAATTGTTGAGAGGCCAGAGGTTACCGTGAACTCTGTGACGGGGAATCTAAACTTGAAACAGAAGACTAAAATGTGCAGGACTTTATTTTTTGAGAAAAAAAATATAATAATGTGATAGTACTGAGAAAATATAATTAAAACAAAAGCTATGGAGAAGGGCAACATATGCAATGACAAAAACAATCTAAAATAAAATATAAACCTTTCTGTATCTTTAAATATTAATGTTGGTGATTTTATCGAAGGCGAGTGCATAAAAAGTGTATATGGGCGGCATGGTGGCTCAGTTGGTAGAGCTGATAATGTAAAGCCCTACACAATCCAGGTATTAAAGAGACAGATATGAAACACAATGTTTTCATAAAATACAACCAATGTTTTTTCACATAATATCAGAAGGCATTTTTATAAACAACTGTCTTTTAATTGTTGAGATGTTTATGACTCATAATTATGATTTATTCTAATTATTAAATAATTATAGTGCAAAAGCTTATTTTAATTGACAAAGAAAGCCAGTCGTTAACAACACTTCACACACCCAGCTATTCTCTTCTGTCTGCTTTCCTCCTATGTAAACATTGACCATGATTTTCATGAGCAGTGGCTGGTGTGACGCCTATTGTTTCGTTTCACATTCTTAACCTTTGTCCGCCTTGTTTCTTAACACACTGCAGACATTTTAAACTAAAGCTTTTGCCAGAGGGTTAAAAAAGGAAAAAAACAAAAAACAATGTTTTACTTTTTTAATCAAAAAGGTTGTACACTCCACGTCACTGGAGCTAATTTTAAACAGTTTTCTTAGCTAGGCTATAATTACACTTCTGGAATTGTGTTTTATCAAAATGAAGGCTTTAGATCCATTGGAGACGCTTAGCACTCCACATCGTGAGAAGGAGCTAATTCAGCTGTGTCCATAATTGTTCTTTTCAAAATGTTTTCTGGTTTTGATGCACTACTTACCACAAATCCCTACTTTTTCATTTTTACATCTTTGTAATAAAAGCAAGTACTGCATCATGAAAATATCAAACTAGTTAAGTATCAGGTGTTTACGTAGTAAGTACCAGGTAACAAGTCACTTTATAATAAAAGCCCAGTCCTTTCAGGTACTCTGCAAGTACCTCTGTTACCTCATAACGCATTGGACCAACAAGGTACTAGCAGTACCTTCTAGGTACTAGGTTGTATTATGTACTGTATTAGATTTAGGAATGCTAATGCTGACAGTTAAAGCATGCACATGTTTGATAAATCTGAGACGTCTGCATCAGAGCCATCAACACATCCTTTATAGGATGGTACAAAGGTATAAAATACTTTCAGTTTCCCTTCCAGAGTTTGTTTCACATAAAACCAAAACTGAGCAATTAAAAGAACCAAAACCACTGAGTTACAAAATCTTTAGGTTTCACTTAATGTCAAGTTCTTGCATCTATACACATTTTCATGACTGAGGGCTTGTTTGGTGTGCATGGCTAATCCTCCCCTTAAAGGAATGCAGACATGAATGGAAATGTTTTGACATCTCTTTCGTGAAAAAGAACATTGTGACTGGTGACGCACGGAAGTTGCTCAAATTAGATATTAGATAAAATCTAGATTATTATATTTTTTGACTTGGTAAACGATACCACAAGACGTAGTGTTACAATAGTGCTAAAGTTTAAAAGTCTAAGGGTTTATATCTTTAGTAATTATCAGGTCTTCCTATGTCGGTAAATATTAGAATTCCAACACACTTTAAACAGGCGTGACCAGCACACGCTCTTCTTACATAACACTGTGGACATTTTTCTTAAAGGTTACCACCATCATTTTTAATATGTTTTTTGTCATCATGGACTTCAGTAAATTATGAAAAAAAAAGTCTCAACTAGAGAATCTTGAATGAAAAAAAGCATTGAAAATGTTTAACAGGAGTATGGTAGTCTGTGTTAAGTTATTGCACTACAAAAGAGAAACAAGAAACACTAATGCTCTAATTTTAGTATTTACTGTTCAAAAGTGTTTGGCTAGAACAGAAAATGCTTTAAAAAAAGAAAGTTTTTACAATTTGAATTTGTATTTTTTTTTATCAATTTCCAAAATGAAATACTTGTCTGCTGTCCAGAGGGGACAAAAATAGGCTTTAAGAGGCAGCTTGTTAAAGAGCAGTATAATACTGAGTATCTGCAGGTAACAGTGATATTCGCAAAGGTTTCTTGGAAGTCTGGAGATGCATTTCTGTAAGTTATTATATGGCACAACAACTCCTAAAATAGATCTACGTGATAAAAAAACAAGGAGTTGTATAGGTGATGGTACGGCCCACAGAGACCTCGACATTTTTGAGTGTCTGGAATTACATAGAAAATCTAAAGGATGTGAGTCACAGATGACGTGGCCATAGTTCAAGATGTTTCAGCCTACCTGCAGTGATATTTCAAAAACTGAGCAAAGGTAGTTTTGTACAGATTACTTCTTCACTTTGTCCCTTCACTTTGCTTTAATGGATGAAAAAAATACAAAATTTAATTGGACAGTACTCTTACTTTACAGCATTTTACACATGTAAAAAATTAATAATGTGTTCAATGAATGTGGTCTTACTGTTCAACAGCTTTTTAATTATAACAGATCAATTCTAAAAGGGAAATGTTTATTCAACCTAAAACGGCAAACTATGCCTATGTCATTTCCAATACATTTAATGAAAATATATAATAGCTACAAATGGTACATAGTTAGTTCATTGGGAAATGTGTTAACCAATTAATAAAGTAAAAACATTTTTTCATTAGAAACACGACATTCCTGAGGCCACTCCTTCAACTGAACATTACTGGAATGAAGACGGCACGTGAATAAAAGCAAACAACCAATCTGCTTCAGTACTCGACAAGCTGAAATGCATGCAAGGCATGTGCAGAAATGTCAAATATGTTGGCAGCAAAATTTGTTTCCAAACTGAGCCATTACAAGCAATTAAAAAGAGAATACAAAATCCCCCAGCCTGTCAAAGACAACACAGTATTTCCATGCTATTAAAAACTAATTGGCTGCTTTTTGATCAGAAGATCAGTCAGAATCAGCAATACTTAGAAAGTATTTTGTTCTTTCCAGCTACCTGTTCTCCGGATGTTGGAGGATTATGGCATTACATTAGCTTCTTAAGCAAGGCATTAAAGCGTTTAAGAAACAAATCAAACAAATGGGCTAAAGAAATTTTATTCTTGCAATATTTGTGCATCTACGAATCATTCAAGCAAAAATGATTTAAAAAAATGATCACAGTTTTTCTTTTTAGCTGCTGCTATATACTATATAACAATTGTGTATAAAAAAAACAAAAAAAAGAGGAAAAAAATTGTTTTTGATGTTATTTTAATCTCAGCGAGGTGGAAATCCCCGATGTGGCCCACCTCTGCCTCGAAATCCTCCCCTGTCTCCTCGGAAGTTTGGTCTGTTTCTTTCTCTGCCTCTGTCTCCACCTCTTCCAGCATTCGGCCCCCCACGTCCACCTCTGGGGGCACCACCACCACGGTCTGACTTTATTTTAACAGGAGACTTGGGCCGCAGCCTCTCGATTTCCTCAGTACAGCCAGATAAATGGGATTCGGGTAAAGGGAAATTTGAGGCGAAGGTTTCTGGATTAAAGTTGGTGTTTGTCAGTGTAGGACCAACGGTCACCCAGCCTAGAAATGGAAGAAAAAGAATGGACACTGGTTGAAAAACGAGGAGAAAAGAAACAAATAAATCCAAACTGCAAATCAACAATATTGTTTTATTTTAGCTAATTTAGTTGTTYAGTAGAAGTGGTGCACGTCACCTGGTCTGATGGTTGAGTCTCTTCCGAACAGGTGCAGCCTCCTGCGGCCCAAGCAGAAGTGTTCGATGATGTGGAAGATCTCCACAGGCTTCTCCACGTTTCCCATCTCAGGCTCCTCAGTAATAATCAAGTCGATGTCCACGTTGGCGTGGATGAAGTCCCCATCAGTGCTTCTGCGCACTGTTCCCTTGATTCCCATCAGGCAGTGTTCCTGAAATAAATGCATTATAACTCTTTGTGCATCATGTAATGTGATTTAAACTGAGATACTGTAAGTTTCAATGCAACACATGGTAATACACCTGGCAACGGAACTGTTTGCTATGAAAAATATATTTGTCATTGGCATTTATTCCACAAAAACAAAGAAGATAAATTATACCATGTCCAAACATAACCAAATACAGTGTTTCATACATATGGAATAAAGTCAATGWTTTTTGTTTGTTTTGTTTTTTTCTGGTGACGTTAATAAGACTTTCTTCACTTTTTAGTTTCACACAAATGTTTTCACATAACAACTGCATTCTGGCTGATCAACTCCAAGCCTCATGTGATGTACTATTGTTACTTTGTCTTGTTTCCTTATAAACCAGATGAGATGTTGATAGATCTGACAGAGACAAAAGAAAAAAAAAAATACCAAAAATGACGACAAACTTGTCTTGCTTTGTTTTTCTTCCTGCTCTTTTGTCACGGTGACTAAACAGATACTAGTAAGAAGGTATGCATTTAGCTAAACTGTAAATATTTCCTTTACAAATATGCACAGATCACATTAAAACTTTAATTTCTACTGCAATACTACTTTAGAGGAAACTGCTGCTACATTGTTTTACTCCATTACTCCATTAGACCCAAATGAATCATTTCTCTTACATTAATTGTATTACCATAACACCTGGAGCCGTTTGGTCAGTGTTTACACAAGTCCTCTGTACCTTAGTCCTCTGGAATACTGCTTTGGGGTCCATTGCTTTTGTTTTTCCTGGGTTGTTTTTGTTGGTTTTAATCCAACAGATATCCTCACACCTTCTGAATCCCCACTTCCTCAGGCACTGAAACCATGGTGAGAAGATAAGAACAAAAACAGATAATTAGTTGAAACACTATCATCAACATGGTAACTAAAATAAAAAAAATAATAAACTGGTCCTCAAGTACTAGGGATGTTGACATTTCGTCAGCAGATACTGCCATTTTCTTCCCAAACTGCTGTGACCAGATTTTGCAAGGCTGCTCGGTGCGTTTGCTTGTAATTTCCTCCTGCTTCGTTATTTCTACGAATTTCAACAAATCGGGCTGCCGTCAGGTAGTTAGCTACAGCCTCCTTCGAGTTTTTAATTTTTGTTGATGCGTTTTGAAGAGACAATTTTTTGAAAAGAGGATCAAAGTAAATCATGAGTTTTTCTAGTGACCCCTTAAAGAGATAAGCTGCCATGAAGAACATTAATTTACCTGCCCTTCTTCCAAATTTGATAATGATTTGAAATGTCGAAGTGTGTTTTTTTTTAATCCGGAACAGCGCTTGTTGCAAAGTGTGTTGACGCTCGTCTTCGTCACTTGACACATTTAACACGCTGTCATTGGTTGAGGAGCTTTGTTTCCAAAACAGATGTCCACATGGTTTTTAAATTTTTTAATTTCCTTACTTTCTAAGACAAATTAAGTTGATTTGATGCTGCAGTTTGCCTTGTAATGTTATTTTATACCTTTTCTGCTACTTTTGAATTGGCTATTATTAAGTTTTATTGGTTTTTTAGGATACAAGATGCTTCCTACAAAACCAGAATGGGAATCTTTTCCTAAAATTTCATGGCGATATCTTGAACACTGAGGAAGTTATAAGCAAAATTAGAAAACAGCAAGGTGAAATGGTCACAAAGGCCCCATTGGTTCTGCTGTGAACTGCAGCAAGAAAACATGAGCTGATTTCACTTAAACAAACATCAATAACTTCCCTCATACTTCAGATAATCACATGATTTTGGTGTTATTTTGTATGGTTTGAAATGTTCTTTTGGAATCCGCTCAGATTTAATATTGGTGTAGGATTAAAAATTTATCCACATCCCTACGAGTACCCCTATCCAGCATGTTTTACTTGTTTCCCTGCTATTCAGCAGGTCTTCAGAAGACTGTTAATCACTCATTCATTCAAACCAGGTGTGTCAAATCAGGGAAACATCTAAAAACCACAGATTTAAATGTTGACCAACACCTCAAGAGCTTCTCTGAGCTTGATGAGACATTTTCAAAATATAATATTGACTCAGTTTTATGTTTTTTTAGTATTGCCTCTGGAAGTCATTGATTCTTTGCCATTTATTTGTAAATAATAAATCAGATAACATGTATTAAAGTARTGATTCTCAACCCTGGTACTCAAGGACTCCTTTCCTGCATGTTTAAATGTTTCCCTGATTTGGCACACCTGGTTTGAATGAATGCGTGATTAACAATCTTCTGAAGACCTGCTGAATAGCAGGGAGACAAGTAAAACATGCTGGGTAGGGGTACTTGAGGACCAGGATTGGAAACCACTGCATATCTGAGCGTGCAACATTTTATGACATTCTCTAGTAATTGTTGTTTTAAAAAGGTAAAGCAGTCCAGCTATACTTCAGCTTTAAAAATAATCATGCTGATGAATTTATGCCAGTTCAACAGGTTTCTGGAGTTCAGAGCTGAGAAGCCATAGTATAAAGTGTTTTCATTAAAAGTTTACTTTATCATTTCCCTTCTTTGCGGTTTGTCCAATTTTAAGATTTTGAAAAAAAAAAAAGGCACTTGTGTCAATTTCTTTATTTTTTTTATATATTGGGCAGTTATTTTATTGGTTTGTCAGAAGTCAAACATTTTCATTGCCTGCCTCAACCGAACAATAAAATTTAGTTGTAGCTCTGCATGTCTCAAATGGTTAGAAATGAGTAGAACTGTACGTTGTTTGTAACATAAAATAGATCTGTGAAAATACCAGTTCATGTAAGGTCTATAAAAACTTTTTTTTTTTTTTTTTTTTTTGCAAATCCAAAGGGTGGGGCCTTCACTCATCATTTCTGATAAAAAAAACAAAAAACAAAAACGTCACAGTGTCAGACAGCTATGTGCCTAAAGCCGAGTTCCCACCAAACGCGTCTTGAGCAGCAAAAACGCTCCTGATGGCGGTTTTTGGCTGCTTGTCAAAAGATGTCCGTTCACACCGAAAGCGTCAGAAGACGCACAATGGGAGGAGCATGTTGGTTCTTTTCTGGTCGGGTTTGTTTTTTTTTTTTCGGTCTCTGAAATGGCAGAGCAAGCGAACATTGCACACATCAGATAATTRATTCAACAGATAATTTAGAGGCGGTTTGTTCGGCAACTCTGCTCTGAGCTGCGAGCTGACGTTTTTTTTTTTTTTTTAAGACCGGGACCAGACTAGAGGCGCATCTGAAGAGGGAGGAGCGCCTTGATTTTTTTTTTTCCGGTCTGTCTTTAATGACGGGTGAAATAAAGATAAAATAAAGAAAATGGCTTTGCTTTATTTACTAAAGAGCAAGTGAACGTTGCGCACATCGGCCCATCTCAACATCAAACATATAATCCATATTAAAGCTCAAGATCTCAAATTGACTAAACTTTATTGGAGTATGGCAAAGAGGAAATCATTGAACTTGAGTTTGCCAAACATGATGTGGAAAACTTTGTGTTCAAGTGCTTCTCAAAATAATAGTCAAAATTGAGACTTTGACATTGAAAAGGTTTTTGGAAACATTTGTTGCAAAGATATCCAATTTATATTGACTGTGACTAATTTATGACTGCAATATAAGCATTAAAACATTTAAGGGGTAAACACTTTTTATAGGCACTGTGAACAAATGAGAAAAGAAAATAAGGATTGCTTAATGATGGAAACCAGAAACCAGGAAGAAAAAAACTTTTACGTATTTGATGTGGGTAGACAATTGTTCTAAGACTGGCATGTTGTAATTATGTTTTAGTGAATCAACACAGACTGTATTACCATTCTGCCCAAGTCCAAGCCTTCACCTGAGCCACACCAGAGAAAGACGAAAGAGCGTAAATCTGATATCTCCTCTATCTCCAGTCTCATGATCTAAAAAAACACAGTAAAAAATAGTAAGATGATCTCATTAGTAAAGCTCTGTATTGTGAACAACCTCATCATTCTATTCAACTACAATTCTTTGGGTCACAATTCAATTCACTTCAGTTTGATTCAATAATGTGTTTACTTTGACATTAGTTTCCTAATAGGAAGAAGTAGTACACAAATAATTCATTAGAAGTGGTTCAGGATTGTTACCGATCGAAACGTTAAATGGCCAGGGGATCAACTCAATTCAGAAGCTTTTCTGAATCAATATTGATTTGCAAAAAATAAATTATTTACAGGTATTTAACCAGGCAAATCCCATTGACATCACAGATTTCTTTTGCAAGGGAGACCTGGGACTGAAGACAACCTATTGTACATATTTTTTTGGGAAATCAGAATACCTGGAGAAAACCCATGCAAGCACAAGGAGAACGTGCAAACTCCGCACAATAGGATCCCAGGTCTGAACCAGGGATCAAACACAGGATCTTCTTGTTGTGAGGCATCAGTATTAACCACTGAGCAGTCGTCGTGCAACCAAATTATTGCAATKCATTGCTAAGTTGATTATTTTACCCAGCCCTACTCATTAGGAGGTGCCTTATAAAGTGAATACATCATTTGCCAATGAGTTTATGTATTAATCTGAAGTACAAAATGTAAATTATCCAAAGTTGTATGCACACTTACATCATCCCACGTCCAGAAACGTTCTGTGTGGCTGATGCCGGACTCTCTGTAGTATTCCTCTAAGGGAGGCTCAATTAGGATCACATCAAACTGGCTCTTCAACTCCCGCAGGTCAAAGTGCTCTAGATCAGCCTGGAGGTACCTAAATAAAACACCTACATGCTTTTTCAGAGCGAACATTTCTCTACACTGTTACTAAATAATTTAACTCACAATCTGGTCACTATTAACAACAATAAGCATACATAGGAGGGACGTTGGTGCTGGAGATGAGTTCATCTTTCAGTCGGATCAACTCTCGCAGTTTAGGATATTCTTCAAATCTATCAGCCAAGCCTTGAACACGAAAGGATAAAGGTCAAATAAAACACACAAGCATCCATGAGTTAAAAGCACTCACTCAAATAAACATACACTCACCGACATCTCTGATGAAATTTTGAGGCCTGTGCCCTGTGTCCACGAAGTGTTGACAGTAATCATTGTGAGGGTTCAAACTCTGGGTACCCTGAGAGGTATAGAAATGAAGTGACAAAGTACAGAGACAAACAACAAATTAAAGTAAATGAGAAAATAAGCTGGATAAACATTTTGCATCAACTTTAATGGGAACACCCAAACGCCTTGCAAGATAACGCAATTTCAGCAACAAGTGTAAGAAGAGAAGAAGCCATTAATGATGGGAATCAAAAGCAATTAAAACAAATTAAAATCCAACCATCAAAAATTGTACATATTGACAGCTATAACAGCTTCAAAACTGCCTCAACAAAATACTTTCAAGAAAAACAAAGTTAACTTTAATTCATGTGCATGAGACACCGTACACTTGTCCACTTGTGGTAAAACTGATTATATAAAACATATTTTATAAACATTGGTAACGTAAATTTTCACCAACCTCTATTGTGATTACATGGTTGATTTAACTCAAGTTTGCCATGTCCTCTATGTTAGGCATGACATGTTTCAATTTTTTTTTCTAATGTTACCTTTAGCCACTATAAAACTGTTGCTTGTTTATAACGAAACTCAATAGTTGTGTGACAATGCATCAATACAATCATAAGACCTTCTGAGAAATGTTCCTTTAAAAACAGAGTCAAGTTGCTGGACAAAACTCGTCCTTCAAGTTTTGAAGCTGCAGCTAAAATAAGACTTGTTTATCTCAGTTCCACCATCTCAGTCAAGAATTAATGTTAGCCACGTCAAACTCGTGACAAAGCAATGACATTTTTGACGCCACTCAAACGTCAATTTTTTACACTACGAAGTCACCATACATATTTAGAATATTTTCTGTACATTAAATGTAGACTGTAGTAAAACGGTGGTGTTAACACACAGACTTTAGGTCTTTTTTATCTGCAGATGCAGATGCATTTTATCAAACACGACAATCAATGACCAGCATTCCATAATTTTCCTTCAGCATCGGCTGCACATTTGTCTAGGCCCTGTCTGATGTGGACATCTTTTTAATTATCATTTTAACCTTTACCAAAGTATATTTCACTGTAAATACTTCAAGGTACCCACAGTGAGGGTGAGCAACTTGCACTGTAAATGCAACAGTATTTTGATTAAGTTTACAAACTTTGTGTATGTTAATTACTATCAACAGAAGATTTCAGACAGTCAAATATCCTGTTTTATTAATTAGCTTAACTGATCACTCTGWCAAAAAATAAACCAAAACTAAGCTATGGAAGTGTGTAAGAAGGAAAACAATGCAACAAAAGTTTTCAATACAAAGTTTGTTTCAAATGCAACCTTTAAAGAGCTGTCATAACTGAGTACTTTGGCATTTATAACCAGGGATAAAAGTAGTTTTRAATTCTTGCCGGTACTATTGTACATAAAACGTCATTAACTGTTCTCGTGCAAGCAGCATTATTTTTCTTAGTAAAAGAGGACAACCTTTTGACAAAATCTGGTTGTCTGCAAAACATTTTGGTTGTAAAAATAATTCAATAAAAATGTAATTTAATAAGTAGGCTTTTTTGTTCTGTATACAAAGTTTACTGTATACAAATATTCTCAGTCAGCAGGTTGACAGTTTTGGGAATTGCTTAAGCAGAAATTCCTCGTTCTACTCCTCATTCTCTTCTTTGCAATAAAGAGCAAAAATATTGCTACTAACACTTTTCTACACCTAGAGGTTACCCAACATCCATAAGCTTTCTGCTTACAGGTCAAACCTTTTCATTTAAATAGGAGTGTATTGTGGACATGACCTTATTAAAAGTTACAGTTTGGTGTTCTTAGGACTGAAGACTTTCTGAAGAAAGAGGTTTTAAACAACTCTTCTGTCATTTTAGTGTTTTCAACAGAGAAACTTTAATATATGAATTAAAAAATATAGCATTTTTGTTTGATCAAACTTACAAGTTCCTCCACTAAAATTTTGTGTAATTTAAAGGCATTGAAACACCTGGTTACATTTAGCAGATATTTATGATTAGCTACAAGCACCTGAAGCTGATTCAGAGAACACTGATTTTGGAAGAACATCAAAGTCAAACTTAGACTTGTCTTTGTTAGAATTTGGGGCATATAAATACAGTATTTCGTCTTTAATATTTTTACAGTGTTCATTTTAAAGCGCGCTCCCACAGCGGCGCTGCTCCTTTGAGAATAGGAGTTYCACGTGCCAGTTGTACATGTCTGTAAGATAATAACTACGCTCTAAACACATCATATTTAATAAATAAAAAGGGTTTAGACTCTTAAGTCCCAGGCAGGTCAGAGATGCGCTGCGAGTGGAGAGATGCAGCAGCCGCGGTCAAACTGCCTCTGAGCCCTCGCTTCAAAGACAACAACGGTCAGGTGATCTCTTGCGGTTTTGTTGTGAACGTGAACACACGGTGTTATGGTGAAATGCTGCGAGGTGCTTTTAGAAATATAATATACCGGTATATAACATACGTAATCCTCGGCAGAAAATAGTCCAGGAAACGCTGAAAGCTTTCCAGGGAGGTGTTCACCTGCCCTCTGACTCGAGGTCGACTTCGACCTCTTCCCGGTACTGCGTACCGGCGCAGAATCTTTTAGTGGTATGCAGTACCAGACCATACCGGCTTACTTTCATCCCAGTTTACAACACATAGTTGGCCTTAATCCAGCATCAGGTGGCTGAAAGTATTTATCAAGTTATTCACTTCCTGTTACTGCTTTGTGTGACTTTTTTTCCAACAAAAAGCCCTGATCATATCATTAAAACTAGTTTCTTCTTCAGTTCTAGTGRTTGTAATGTGATATAACTAATCTAACAAAACAATGGAGCCTACCAAGAAATGTTCTATGCATCTAATACTAAAACATGTATGGTATGCACAAAAGTAGGGCAAGACATGCAAGAAAAGTTGGGTGTGTTTAAAAGAAAATGAAATTCCAACCTTAAGGAAAGTGCTGGAATCCTTATACACCTCCTCATATGGGTTGCTCTCATCTTCCTGCTGCACCTCCACTTCATCCTAACGCACACAGAAAAATAAAATAGACACATTTTATGTATTGRAACTGCAACAAACTGAGCTGAAAGGAATGTGATCAAAACACATTTTAATGAGATCGTATTCAAATGATTGCAAATAGTTACAAATAAACTGATAAAATAGTTTAAAAAGTAGAACTAAACACCTAAAGCATTTTCTTTTCGGCATCCAGTATCAAGACTGTGAATGCAKCAGTGTCAGCTGCGATTTCTAAATGAACGCTGGTTATGTCGCTCTGCTATGAAATGGTGACATGAAAATGTTGTGTTAATTATTTGAGATAATCCTCAATTCACACCTTAGTTAACATCCTTGTTTTCTAAAATCTCAATCAAGACATCTTATGTGTCACACAAAGATGTCAGATAAAATCAGATACAATTTTGGAACAATTTAAATGTTTTCTTACACTGGGAGACAAAGGTTAAGAAAAGAAAAAAGTCATTTTTAGTTGTTTAAACTCATGTACAGATATTCATCAAAAATCACACATAAAAACTCACACCGATAAACCAGTAATTATATATAAAAGACAAGAAATAAACATTGTCCAGCCAAACATCCTAAGTTCAATAATTACTTTATTAGTTTTGTCTCTGTGTATATACTATATATATTGTTGTTGGCCTACATTTCTTTATATGTTAAATTTTGTTGAACAGGCTTAACAGGCTTGCTAATAAAGACTGTTCTGTTCGGTTTAAATTATAATAAATTCCTAAAACGAGTATCAGTCACACAGCGCTTTAAAGATAATCCTTTCCCAAGCAAATCTTTGTTTTTTGGCAAATCTTTATACAGGTAAAGAGAGGTATTGGTAGGAATGCTTTAAAAGAGTGAACCAACAGCAAAAGAGGGGGGTCATTTTTCCCTGGAGTTGTGAAACCTCACTAGAATGCATTCAGCCATTTTCAACATTTAAAAATTCCCACATAAAAACAAAACCTACTCAACAAGTAGTTCTTATCTTGAGTGCTATTTTACTGCTAATCAGTTTCAATCATTTCCTTTAAAGAAAATGTTTTGGAAACCAGGTTTATCGACATCGATAAACATGTTCCTGTTGTTTTAGTTCCCGTGATTTCATAAACGGCGGCACGGTGGCTCAGTTGGTAGAGCTGATGCCTCTCAGCAAGAAGGTCACCGGTTCAAATTCCGGTCTGGGGACCTTTCTGGGTAGAGTTTGCATGTTCTCTCTGTGCATGTGTGGGTTTTCTCCGGGTACTCCGGCTTCCTCCCACAGACCAAAAACATGACTGTTAGGTTAATTGATAACTCTAAACTGTCCCTAGGTGTGAGTGAGAGAGTGAATGGTTGTTTGTCTCGTTTGTCTCTATGTGTGTCCCTGTGATGGACTTGCGACCTGTCCAGGGTGTACCCCGCCCCTCGCACTGTGACTGCTGGATATGGGCACCAGTGACCCATGTGACCCTGAAAAGGAAGAAGCGTGTACAGAAAATGGATGGATGGATGGATTTCATAAACCCCTTACTTTTGGTTCTTCTACATCTTCTTCTGTATCCTCTCCCTCTGTTAGTGGCTTCTTCTTGGGAGGGGGCACTGAGCTGTCATAGGAAGCCCTGCAAAACATTGTTTTTATTATTATTTAGACAAACTTGACAAACTTACTAATAACTTAGCATAAGTAAATTTCCCAGACTCTAAGATTAAATGAACAAACAAAATAAATAAATAAAAAAACAAGAAGAATTAAGCTTTTGGTGAAAATGAGAAAGTTTAATCTGAATAAAATGTATTTAGGGTTTACAGTGGTATAAATTTAATTACATAAATTTGTTTGAAACTAACAAAAGTAGTAAGAAAAACATAAATAAAACTAAAATAATTAAAATTAGTCATTGTTTTTAAATTTTGGTTCACCAGAATTACAGGGGGAAAAAACAAAGACAGAACATACACTGGATCAAGAATAGCAAATACTTTTTTTTAAGTCAAACATCTTAAGTTAATTGTTAGGCTACCTTTAGGTGTTGTTAATGAGTCCCACAAAACCAAACCCCATACCAGTTTGTTCAACATTTGTTCTCCCAAAAGTGCAAAAACACATTTTAAAGAGTGCATTCTGTTTAAAAACAGAGAAATGCACATTTGGGCTCCTATGTGTTTCCCCTATTGAGATTATCTGAGAGGAGACATTTTATCTTACCTGCATGTTTCTCTTGTCTCTTCTATCTCTTTAAGTTCATCCTTACTGTGTAGGACAGCCCCAATACTGTCWGCGCTTTCAGCTCCCAACTGTGTTCAGAATAGAAATTCACATGAACTAATGTTTGCTTCAAGTTGGCATGCACCTGTAGCTACATTTAACACAGTAAATATGCTCTAATATATATGCAATAAAGTAAGCTTCAGAAGGTCTTCTCATTTGCATGTGCTCATTTCACGCTTATTTACATGTTCACCATTCTCGGTTTAGGCTATGGTTTGCAGTGAAGCCATTATCCCCTCTATTACTTCATAAGGCAAGCGGCGTTTGTTTACGAAATCAGCTAGGTAAGAACCGGTTAATGCTATCATTCTAAGCTCTAAAATTGGTTCTTCCAAACAACATAAACATTCAGTCGTTCTGCAGCTCTGCTACCCCTGGAGCTACGTTAGCCAATARCAACTTGCTAACTGGGTGTGCATGTGTACTTGCCTGCTGAGCTAGTAATTGTCGCCTAAGCTTTTGCCTCTCGCGGATTTCTTGAAGCCTACTGTTCATTTCTCCCCCTGTAACAGTTTCTTATAAATTATACTTGTTCTTTCATACACGTGTGTTAAGAGCAGGTTGTAACAAAAACATCGGCTAAATCAAGACAGCCGCTAAAACATATCAGAATGGGTACGCTCGTTAACCACACCAGTACATACGAGGACTCTGTACGGATATGTCTCTGACTAAAATGAGTACGTGCATTTGAATCAAAGCTTTTGCCATTGTGGAATTTCCAAGTGTCGTGTTACAGAAGGTCAAATAATTTAAAACAGAAGGAAATAAATTAAAGAAAAAGAATATTGACTGTAACTCCGCTTTTCCCGTTGACAAACGGTGTACGCCAATAATAAAGTTAACACACTTATGAGTTTATGTCGCCTTTTGATGATGAAGACATGTTTGGGCGCTTACATTAAGCGTTTGATCATTCCTCATCCAATCAGAGAGTGGCTTTAAAGGTCTTTTGTTAAGTCTGTCACCTGCATTTGCACACAAACTCATTCCCATTCATAAAGACTACTGAGTTAAACGAATATAATAATAATAATAATAATAATAATAATAATAATAATAATAATAATAATAATAATAATAATAAGTGTTTAATCACGGAAAAAATGAAGAGGCTCGGGCCATATCCTAAACATCAAACTGCAAACAGGACTCTGTGCTTACATTTAAAAGAATATGAAGAAGAAAATGTTATGTTGCTTTGTGAACAGCAGTGCATTCAGTCATTATAAGTAGAACCACATTGTTAGTYCTTCAAAAACAGCTGACTTCAAAAGTTTGATTCTGGTTATTCGAATGCTTTCAGAAGCTTCTTAAAAGTCCAGTAAATAAAAGCATTCAATTATTKTTTTGTAGTAGGCTAAATGTACAATTAAGGCTATTAGATTTTCAAAAAGATGTATTTTTTATTGTGTCATGGAAGTTCATCATAAATTAGAAAAGATGGGAAATGGGCACATCGTAGCCCTATTATAAATGGTCTTAATATGTGTTTTCAGTTTTTTTAAGCTGCTATTTTGTTTGTTGTGAAACAATGGATGCGGTAGCTCGAGGGTGCGGGTTCGAGCCCCGGTTGCGCCAGCAGAGGTATCCGTCGTAAAAATAATTGATAAATCTTCCGTKCATGTTCGCTCACTGTGGCGGTCCCTGCAGAAGGGAGCAGCCTGGAAAACAAAAGAAAGAAAAGGCTCCATGATATCATGGTGCGTTGGGGGGTCATTAAATAGGAGGCAACGCAAAAGGAGTTGCCCTGTACGCAGAGAGTCGAGCTCCCTGCTCCCCGGCACAGCAGAGCGGTGAGGCTGTCTGTCTGAGCCGTCAGCTGATGACTGAATCAGGTTTCCTCCGTTAGTCGGACCTAACATGAAAGTGTCGTTTCTCTCTCCAGTAGCCGCTCCTCTGCTGCTGCTGCTGCTGCTGCTGCGGGCTGCGAGCGGCTCTTTCTCCAGCCGCGTCCCTTCATTCATTCTCCCGTTCACCGAGTGCGCGCGGAGCCGGGGGAAAGACGGCTCCTACAGGGGAGTCGTGGACGTGACCGAGTCCGGCAGCCGGTGCATGAACTGGACCGAGGTGGCCGGATTCAAAGAGCGCTACCCGGGCAAAGGGATAGGAGAGCACAACCACTGCCGCAACCCGGACGGCAGGATCCGTCCCTGGTGCTTCTTCAAGAACCACAAAGGCAGGATGGACTGGGGATACTGCGACTGTAAACAAGGTATGCAGGCCTGCCTGACACATAATCTCACGTTTATACAGGGCCAAAGCATCATGGAAACCGACTGATCATTCCAAAACACAGTAAATATACATGCATCCTATTGCAGTTTTGGTTGATGTGCAGAACTTGAGGCACACACCTTTGGTTGTTTATGTCTGCACTKGTTTTTGTTTGATTGTTGCAAGTCTGCATCCTTTATCTTTAAAATAGCCTTTTTTAACCACATAAAGTTTGAAATCTACTTAGCTCTTAACAATGCATATTTGGTTATTTATTTAAAAATGAAGTTTATGTTGTATTGTGAAACTAAGATGTTAATAATAAGACAAAATTAAATGAACACAATTGTACAAATGGAAATAAGACTTAGAAGAAGGCTGTGCAGAACAGACTAAGTTCAATATGTGTTGAACAAGAGCAAAATAACTTTCACAATTAGGGATAAATGAAGCAAGTTGCAACCCTAAGTCCTAAAAGACAAAATAATTACCTTTATTTACACTGTTTATTAGAGCTGGGCCTTTGTTTTTTTTTATTCCTATTAAAAATTATAGTATGTTTCTACAACCCCACTTGCAATTGGTTTAAATGTTACCAAATATACGCTTTAACAAAGTAGGGGGGAAAATGTACATTTTTGGTGGATGTGAGGTAAGCCCAAATGTTGCATAAACAAAGTGGAGAAAAGTTCAACAMGATATGACCTCAGCAGTAAAACTAATGACTGAATTGTAAACATAATAAAACTTTAGTCCCATTCAGCTGTGTTCCTGACCCACTGGAAATGTGTGCATGTGGTGCATTTATAAAAACGGATGTGTTGACTACTTTCTGTTWAAAACTTAGTGTCACTCTGCTGCATAAATTTTAAATCCATTTTGCAAAATGCTTGGACAGATAAACAACTATAGTGCATTTATAAATACAAATTACTCATTCATCTTTCCTTCAGAAGGTCTGATTCATTTGGCTCCAGAGATGCGGGTTGTAGACCCCAGGTGTACCTAACTGTAAAATAATAGCTCAGGTATATTTGCTTAAGGGGTGGTGGTGGGGCGGATTAAAAAGAAAAAAAGATGTGTGTTAACAAAATCGGAGAACATAGTTTATCTTACATCCCTCGATAATGGAAAGTAAAGAGATCGAGATTGACACAAGGTGAATAGATGAGTGTGATTCTCATTTGACACAAGCAGGTCAGCCTGGGATATTTTTAGGCCTTATTTTTAGTCTTGTTATTTATCTGCAGAGTGTGGATGAATTGTATCCCTGCATACACTGGCAATCCTGCCATATAAACTTAAGGTGTTGAGGGGTTTGAAAATCTAGTGAAAAGATGGCAGCTGAACATCCAGATATGCTAACTGTGAGACAAACCACTACTTTTCCAAAAGCCTGATGAGCACCTCTGTGTCAGTGTCTACGGAAATTCTCAATGCCATCAGAAACAAACAGGAAGAACATTTGTGTACTAAGTTGTAAGACATATCAGAAAGTATCTTTTCAGATTTTGTTGGATTGTTTTCAAATGTCAAACTCTGCAGAAAAGACTGCATGAGCATAAAGACTGTCATCGTGTTAAAAAAGAAAACATATGAGGGGCGTTGAAATGTTAATTTCAAATGGAACAGTTGAAGGAATTTATATCATCTGCCACCTTTCCTATCAGAGTTTTAAAACAATGTTACATTGAGATACGATGGACTTGTGGCCATTTTGAAACCTCAAAATTCAAACCTTAAAATGATGTTATGCACAATCCCTTGCTTGAAGACACGTATGTGTTATGGATGACTCATCAACTACTACATCAAATTTTAGCCAAATATCTAATAGGGTAATCGGTTAGATGTACAGCAAATGATCATTCTTCTTAAAGTTTTTTTTTTAAATCTCTCCCCTGGTTCGTGAGATATTTTGCTAACAAACAAACAAGGTTGACACCAACAGGTAAGGCTTTTACGAGGCAAGGTTACTGTCAAAAATAACTGTACTCGTAAATTTGTGATTTGTTCTTGTATTGTTGCAAAGTTGTAACTTCACTTGTTCATAACTTCTGTTTGATTTCACATGTATGCAAATCCTAAATGTATACAGGTTTATTGAATTAAACGTATGGATTTATGTTATGTATAAAAAAATAACTTTCCTCATGCTTTTAGCAAAAATTCCATTCTGTGTATCACTTAGAGTATGTGTTGTGAATGACTTTCAGCTCCAACCATACACAATTTTATTACATAATATGTCTACATTCTGCTGAGTTCTTAAAACGGTTGTTTTTTATTTTGGCTCTGGTGGCCGTCTTTAATTGGGTTGGCAGCAAAAGGTTAAAGATTAAATAATTACTTTTTTGTAAGTTTCGATAAAATATGTCCAGTGGTTCCTTAGATATTTTGGTAACTGACAGACAAAGGAACACACAGACACAAACAAAAACATTAGAAACTGCCTTTGCCTTTTGGCAGCAGGTAATAATAAAGAAAAGGCCCAAACAGTAAATCAATTTTTACTCATTATATAGTCTATTTAAGAATGTAAGCCATCCTTATACATTTCTATCTGCTTCCTCTTTTAATTAAAAGTTCCTGCGTTGCACCAAAGTCCATTCTCTTRATTTATCTCCCCTATATTATTGCACATTCTGACTTGTTTTCATCTCATTGTCTTTCACATCATCCTTCTCTGTTCTCCTCTCCAGGATCAGTRCGTCTGCAGGGAGGCCGCTCCAAGYTGGACGGCAGGGTGGAGGTCTATCTGGGAGGAGTCTGGGGGTCTGTGTGCGGCACTGAGTGGGGGGATGAAGATGCCGCAGTGGTTTGCAAACAGCTGGGCAAGGGGTGAGAGCGATCAAACACATTGCATGCGCTTTTACACGTGCACTCCATCTGCCTCCTCCTGTCACACTCAGACACAGGTGTGAAGGCAGCAGTCATCTGTCATAAAAATCCGCAACCTGAAGCTACTTCCAGAGGGTTAGTAGACGGAATGGTTTGGTGTAATTTTCRGGGAGTTTCACAGCCCTTCAGATATATTTTCTTTAGGCATTTTTCTTTTTTCTTTGCAGGAACTCTATCGTCTTTGTTTGACGTTTTCATTACACATTTTTTTTCCCTGCCGAGGTGTTTAGATAGTTTAAGAGCTCAGCTTTTTACACACCTAATAGCTCACTTTTGCCTAACACACATGCATGCAACTGTCTTATATGGGCCTGAATGTTAGACATAGTGAGCCTAGAAGAGGTCTCGGGGGAGCCCACAAAGCAGTTACTCATTTTAAACAGTGTTCTTAAGACGAGGCAATGGAGCCAGCAGAAAGAGGCAGTCCTGCTTTCTCACTCTACACATTTATATTGTTGCTAACAGCAGCCCAGGTCTGCATTCTGACATAAGTGCACGCCTGTGCAGCATGTGTGCATTGACTCAGGAGTCAATGAAAGCACACAGTAGAAAGGAAAGAGGGCAAATGTTGGACGTAAATCGTCTGGAATGCTTGGCGATGACTTTCACACAGTCAGTTATTGAAAGCTGCTGGTGAGCAAACAGAGACCTAAACATTACTGCTACTACCACCGTGAAACAGCTGGGAGATAAAGCTGCTTTTGCTGGAGTAGCAGGAAGGTTTTTTTACATTCTTCTCTCATAACAAAAAATATATATATATTTCCTGCTCAGAAGAAAAAAAAACAATATGTACATTTCTAAATTTTGGGTYTTATTGGAAGAAAAACAGAAGACAGTGAGAATTTATCCATGTGTATTACTATCCATCATGTAAATGTATCATATTTATCCATACAGGCGCACATTGTATGACAAATGTTTCATTTGCTGTCCTAAATGGGCTGGTGGTACAAAAACTAAAAATTACAAATAATAACGAAACCACCCCACCCGCCCACCACACACTTTTGATCTCCTGATTTTTATTTATTTTTTTTTACCACAGTGTGTTCACCAGATCTGAATGCTGCAGTGATCTCTTTTCAAGCCCCAGGAAAGTGCCCCTCTTTAAGTGACCAATTACTTTGGAAATAAACTGAACAATTCCTCATTTCTGGAATTTAATAAAACTCTGCTTAACACCTCATATGGGAAAAGACTGGAACTGCCAGCAGATAGATTAGAGCAGTGATTCCCAAAGTTAGGGTAGAGAACACATGGTGGGTCCTAAGACATCAAGGCGAGGTCTTGAAAGGATTTTCAGAAGTTGTTTACTATGCCCTTGTTTATTTCACCTGATACCATTGTTTATCACCCAAAAATATTTGGAAGAACTGATCTCTGCAATTATTGTTTTGTGGGTCAAAAGCTGAAGAGTTTTGAAACCGCTGGATTAGAGTAACTCCTTTCTTTTAATGATATTCTCCCAGGATCTCAGGACTTGCTCGCGCAGTTCCCCTGTTTCGGCCCGGCATGACTAAGCTCCACTGGATGGCGGTCCATTGTCAGGGAGAGGAGGGAGACCTACTGCAGTGTCCCAAGACTACCTGGAAAGGAGAGGAGTGTTTTCTGGCAGCAGCTGTCACCTGCACCCATCAGCAAGGTATTCCTGCTCTATGAGGCGACTATGATCACTGGACTGAAAAGAGGTCCAAAAAAAAAAAAAGACAAATAAACACACAGACCCCCCCCCCCCCCCCCAAGAGGTCTGAAAAGATTTTAAGGCCTGACATTTCTACAATGCTTGAAAAAAGCTGCACAGCATTTTTGTTTAAAAATGTGTATAAACTTGCTTATTTGTTATTGTCAGCTGTCGGCATGCCTCTCATACGACTGGTTGGGGGTCGATCTGATTCAGAAGGCACAGTTGAAGTCTTTCATGCAGGGCAGTGGGGTTCTATATGTGACGACCAATGGGATGACAGTGATGCAGAGGTGGTGTGCCGACAACTGGGGTTGAGGTAAGAAAGTGACACGCACACAAATTTTAGTGTTTACTTTTATATTAATTCTGCACAATAACGATTGTAAGGAAATCATTATTGGCAAGGGAACATTGGGACGCGTGGCAGAAAGGGAATGGAGATGAGTAAATGTGGGTGTGAAGCCATCTTTCTCTTCCTCTGTCTCCAAAAGTATGACAAGTATTCTTTCCATTCAGACTCACACAGAGAGGAGTGAGCAGTAAAGAACATCTGGGGGTCAAACAGTGAATCAGGCTCATTGTTTCTGAATGCATTCTAGCACCACAGAGATATGCATATTTAGCAACACTATATTCTCTGCTAATGTTTTGCAATTTTAATGATCATATGTTAGACGCTGTTTCTCATCTGTAAAATGTAAATGTAAAATATCTGTTACACAAGCTCTATAGAGGGCCGGAGTTTCAAATGAAGATTGAATGAATGAAGATCATCTTAAGTTGAGAAAATGTCGTAGTTACAGTTGTTTTGGTTAAACCTTTTTTTGGCCACAACCATGAAAGACATTTTTTTAAAACTATATCAGCGTTAGTACAGAGGCAATTGTTCTGTTTTATCTGCTGTCTTTTCTTCGTAGCGGTGTTGCACGGGCATGGGGCCAAGCATACTTTGGAAAGAGTTCAGGTCGTGTGTGGTTGGACGAGGTGCGTTGCTCAGGCAATGAGCTCAGTTTGGAGCAGTGTCCCAAAAGTGCCTGGGGAGAGCACAATTGTCTGCACTCTGAGGATGCAGGAGTGTCCTGCAGCCCCCTCACAGGTAGGCCAGCATATTTCCTCCCTAAATGTGTCATGTGCACTGATAGTTTTCCAAGACAGTGGCACTTATTATATTGGAACGTGATGTGCCTTGTAAACCATTTGGTATTTATCAAACTTTTTGATGCAGATATTTTAGTTCGTCTAACACAGGTAGAATGATAACAATCAGTTAAAAGCCTGGGGTAGAACCATTCATGTTTTATATATTAGTTTTGCATGTTTTAAAAATTCGTACTAGTTTACTATTGGGTACTACAGTGACACAAGAAAACATAAAACAAAATGAAAAATTCAAAAGTTTAAAGGCTTAAATAGCTATCCTTGAAGAAATGTATACAACCTGAGGCCATTCATGCCAGAATGTCACTAAAATCATCCTGTGCTGAGAAGGGATATTTTCACAGCCATTGTGGTCAAAGTTTTGGTCTAAAACACCAAACAAAAATAAGCTCAATATATGGAAAATTGAGTTCTAACAAGTCATGTGCTTYTTCAGTTGGCTGTGGTGTCCATCTTAGATTGGGGTAACTCCAAACCGTAGGACTCATACTGTGCTATTTGAAGATGATGTGGTTCTGTTGGCATCATTGTGCCATGATATTGTTCTCACTTGAGTGGTTCATAGCCAAGTGTGAAGCAACTGGGATGAGGATCCATAACTCCAAATTTGAGGCCATGGCCCTCAGTAGGAAAAGGAGGGACTGCCTTCTCCAGGTTGGGGGTGAGGTTCTGCCTTAAGTGAAAGAGTTTAAGTATCTTGGGGTTTTCTTCACGAGTGAGGTAGGAATGGAGTGTGTGATTGATAGACGGATTAGTATGGCTTCCATAGTATTGCGGACTCTTTAGTCATCTTTTGTGGCAAAGAGGGAGATGAACTGCAGGGTGGAACTCTCTGTTAACTGTTGATCTATGTTGTTACCTTCACCTATATTCTTTGAGTAGTGACCAAAAGAGCAAGATTGCAGATATAGCCATTCAAAATTACTTTTYTCTGCAGGGTAGCTGGGCTCTTCCTTCGAGATAGGTTGAGCATGCTCTTGCACACTTAGAAGAACCAGTTGRGRTGGTTTGGGCATCTGGTAAGGATGCCACTTTGATGCCTTCCTAGGGCAGTGTTTAGCACATGTCCAACTGGTAGGAGATTCAGGGGAAGACCTCAGAYTTGCTGTAAAGCAATGTTTTTTCCCCGACTGGCCTGGGAACACCTTATAATCCTCCCTGAAGAGCTGGAAGAAGTGACTTTGGAAGGAGATATGGAGCCTTCCTGTTTAAGCTTCTGTCTCTGTGACCCAACTCAAGAACAAGTGGCAGATAWTGGATGGATGGATGGCTGAAATCAAATAATTTTAATTAAATAATAATAAAAAAGTTTATTTGTGCGTTTTTCATCAGACTGATGTGCTTGTATGCTTTTTGCGTTTTCCTGTTATTCTATGCAGATGGTACCATTAAGTTGGTTGGTGGCACTGGAAGCCACGAGGGGCGTTTAGAAATCTTCTACCATGGTCAGTGGGGGACAGTGTGTGATGATGGCTGGACTGAGTCAAATACACAAGTAGTGTGTCGACAGCTCGGCTACAGGTCCAGTGAAGTATTTACTCTCAGTCATGTGCATTTACACACCCCCCAATCTGTCAACAATGGCTGAGTCTCTAAATATTCATTGCATGTGCAAATGTCYGCATGACAGGGTGGGTGAAACTCTTTTTTCGGAAGGACCAGGCATCACTCCCACCTCGTGTTTCGGGGTGGGGTCAGGTCCTATTCTTTTGGATGATGTGAGCTGCATGGGGAAAGAACCCAGTCTGTTGTTGTGCAACAAGAAGGAGTGGCTCCGTCACGACTGCACACACGATGAAGATGTTACCATCGCCTGCAGCCCTGAGCACAGCGGAAGCAGCCTTCCAACAAGTAAGACAGTATCTTATTTTACTGAGAGACTTACCTTACAAATAATAGTTACCAGTGAAATGAAAAGTAGAAGAAAATAGTTTTGCTTGTCAGCTGCTCTTAACTGAACCCAAAACCATTTGAAACCAAGCCAGGTAACCTTGTAAAATAAGTCTTCCTTATAGTGTTTAAAGTGAATTACCCACACCTCTCAACACTCATTGCAAAAGTCTTCATCCAGGCTAGTSTAGTGGCCTGTTGTTTTTCCTTCTTAAAAAACAAGTCATGTAAGTCACTCCAAAAATGACCAGGTTGTCCCTTAAAGACAGYGAACAGTGAACACAGTTTATACAGTCAGCAAGAACACAAGACACCAAACTTTGTCAGAGCAGGATAACTGTATCAATTGAAAGGGTGATCCATTTTGACATTAGATTGTATACAGATGACATGATAGTGTTTCAGCACATAGCAAATACATGTCACCATTTTTTACCAYGACAGACAGGCCACCCCTACATACTGCTGTAAATCCTAAAATATGAGTTGATACCATCTTCAAACTTCTTTCTGGCATTGATARTTTATATTTTATGTGGAGTTTAATCACTTTTAATGTTAATACAAAGTTAACTCCAGAACCCAATGACATTCTAATCCCACATTTTTACTGCAAATTTTCAGTGGTTTGTTTCAGGCTCTGTTGTACGGTTTGCCTTCTGGATTTTTTTTGCTGAAATGTCAAACAGATGATGATAAGTAAACRTTTTTTGTAAAATATATTTCAACAMGTTTTTTTYCACGAGTCTTTTACTTTCTTATGAAACACAGTAACAGGGTCCATTTTCTTTCCACTATGAACAGCAATAATGTAAGTTGGAAAGGACTGTAGAAACATCTAGTTGTGCTTTATATGCAGTGTGAAACTGAAAATAAAATCACGAAAGTGTCTATAAATATCCCTATCTTCATGAACCAGGTAAAAGAACCAGGGCTAATCTGATGTGAGATTTTTGCCTAAGTGAGCTTCATGGTAACAGTTAGATCTCATCATATTTAAAAGAGGAACGACAACATTTTTTCACAAGACTTGAAAGATAGATTGTATTTGCACTCAGTGACATTACGGCCTTTTGGCCTATCCAGTCTAAATGAACTTGGCTGCTTATAAAGTCATTGAGTTTTACTAAAAYTGCAAAGAAACCTTCACCTGAACTGTTCATTATTTTCATGGCTATCTCTGTTCCAGCCTATTCCATGTGTAACTGGGAAAATGTTTTTGTGTGTGTGTGTGTGGTGTGTATGGGGTGGGGATGACACACTAGACAACTCACCATTCCATTACAAGAACAGCACAAATATATATGTGTATATAC